AGAGCAGGGGAGGGGCGTAGAGAGAGACACAGAATCCGAAGCAGGCTCCAGGCTCTGAGCTGTCAGCACAGAGCCCAACATGGCTCAAACTCACAAGTCATGAGTCCATGACCTGAGCTGAAGCCGGACACCCAACGGAGCCACCCAGGCAACCCACAAGAGACTCTTAATACAGAGAACAAACTGAGGGTTGCTGGAGGTAGGCAGGTGAGGGGATGGACTAAATGGGTGATGGGCCTTAAGGCAAGCACTTGGGATGAGCACCGGGTGTTATAAGTAAGTGATGAATCACTAAATTCTACTCCTGAAACCATTATTACACTATATATTAACTACCATGGAGTTAAATAAAAAAAAAAAAAAAACTTTTTTCAAACATAAAAAAAATAGAGATTCCCCTATTTTGTATTTTATTTAATTAGAATTGCATAGCATGTATTTTTGTGTATCTGGGGTTCCAATCAACACTGTCAGTCTCTGGTTGTTGTTGTTGTTGTTGTTGCATTGTCATTTTCTATTACCCCCACAACATCCTTTCTCTTTTTGATGGACATTTGAGTAGTTCCCAGTTTCGGGCTATTATAAATAATGATGTATTGGCCATTCTAGTAAGTACCTTTTTGGGAAAAGTATATATGCGTTTCTATTTGAGGCATATATCTATATACACGCATGGGATGTAGGGAATGCATATTCTCACCATTCATAGATACTGGAATCACTTTTCCAACGTGGTTATACCAACTTACACTCCAAAACAAGTGTGGGAGAATTCCAGTTGTTGTACATCTTCACCCAAAGTGGCATTCTCCTGCATGTTTTATATAGATTCATTTTACCAACTCTGGTAGGAATGTACAGGTATCTCATTGTGCTTTTAATTTTCATTTTTCTGATTACTAATCAAGTTGAATACCTCCATTCTAGTTATACATCTATAACTAATTATATCTAATTTAAATCTATATTAGCTATTTGAATATCTTCCTTTGTGAATGATTTCATTTTCTCTTGCATTGCCCGCACTTTTCTTATTAACTTGCAGGGGCATGGGGTATATTCTATGTACAAGCCCTTTGCCAGATACATAGATCGAAATTTTCCCCTTCCATTCTATGGGCTGCTCTTTTATTCTACTAATGTTGTCCTTTTTTAAAAAGTCTCTTGTAGTTTCTTCTTAAATTGTTTAAGTTCTCACATTTATCTTTAGTTTGTTTTGGAAAGAAGTTTATGTAGGGCATGATGTGGAGATTTACATACATTTCATTTCCATAAAACTCCTGACTCAAGGACAGAGGTAAACACATGACCTAGAAGACCCATGTTTATGGCTAGGAATGCTCTCAGAGAAAGGGAGTGAAGCCACCAAATTGGCTTGACTCAGGTCCACATACAGAGAGGGACGCAAAATTGGGAAAATTGCTGTGATCACAAAGCCAGATGGCACTAAATGGTAGCCTGTTGTTCAGAGAAGCATTAGGTACACTAGCAGCCATTTGGCAGAACCCAAGGGTCATAGGTAAGGCATTTTGTAGAGGGCACACGAGCCCCTTATGTGTGCAAGGGGGAGGTGCCTCAGCTTCAGCCTTGGCCTGAGCAGCATCCTAAAGTCTTCAAAACCATACACTGCCTGACGATGCTTGAGTTGGTCTAACCCTCTATTGAAATCTGACTGATGCTCTTTGCTATCATCTGGTAATGACCACTGATAATGCACATTCCCCAAAACCCAGCAAATGAAACTAAAGAAACGCTGTTTTACAAGATAGGAAGAGACAACGAACAGTGGTTTTCAGAGTCCAACCCGAGATAATAGCCTTGTCTTTATATGACTCGGTTTTGATTTTCATTCAGACTGGATAAAGGCCAGATTTGCTGATGCTGAACTAAAAGCGTACTTTTGCTAAAAGGGATAAAAAAAAGATACTATATTGTTTTATGTGTTAACACTGTTATTTGCTGGAAAGCTCTCTATGACCTCCAGGATAAAAAGATATGGTAGGCCCTGTAAAAACTAATTGGCCAAAAGTACACTCCAAATGGCTTTTGTGTGGTGACAGAGTGCAGCGGAGATGTCAATACCCAGTCCTGTCCAGATAGCAGATTTGTTAGCAAAATAAATGTTTCAATCTGTAGGTTTGGAAGTGATATCATGCAGCAACAGATAACAAATACTCTGATGTAAGACGATGTGCCCTTTCCTCCATCCCAGAGGAGACTATTATTGTATGAAGCAGGAATTTGGTTCTTTTTAAAATGTTTTAAATGTTTATTTTTGAGAGAGAGCGTGTGCAAGCAGGGGAGGGGCAGAGAGGGAGAGAGGGAGACACATAATCCAAAGCAGGCTCCAGGCTCTGAGCTGTCAGCATAGAGCCCGATACGGGGCTCGAACTCACAAATCATGGGATCATGACCTGAGCCCAAGACGGATGCTTAACCGACTGAGGCACCTAGGCACCCAGCATGGATTTGGTTCTTAAATTGAGACACTTATATCCATTTTTAAAATTGTGGCAAAATACACAACATAAAATTTACTATCTTAACCATTTTTAAGAGTACAATTCAGGGTCATCAAACACATTCACATTGTTGTGCAACTATCACCACCATCCACCTGCAGATCTCTTTCTATCTTGCAAAACTAAGACTCTATGCCCATGTAACAATAACTCCCACGGCCCCCCATCACCACCCCACCACTGGCAGCCACCATGTGATGGTTTTTCGTGACTGCCTTATTTCACTTCACATAATGTTTTCAAAGTTTATCCATTTTGTAGCATGTATTAGACTTTCCTTCCTTAAGGATAGGATACGGTGCATATATCCATCGTAAATATGGCCCACATTTCATTTAATCCACCCATCCATGGATGGACAGCTGAGTTGCTTCCACCAATTAGCTATTATCAATAACGCTGTTATGAGCATGGATGCACAAATATCTCTTTTAACCCCTGATTTCAATTTTTCAGGGTGTACACTCAGACGTGCAGCTGCTGGATCATATGGTACTTCTATTTTTCATATTTTGGGGAACTGCCATACTAGTTTCCATAGTAGCTGCACATTACATTCCCACACACAGTACACAAGGGTTCCCATTTCTCCACATCTTCGCTTGTTAATTTCTGGGGCTCTTTTTTACAGTACCACCCTAATGAGTGTTAGGTGGTTAAGGCAGTTGTATTTATTTATTTATTTATTTATTTATTTATTTATTTGTTTAATTTTTTTGAGAGAGAGAGAGAGAGAGAGAGAGAGCGCATGCGAGAAAGGGAGGGGCAGTGAAAGGAGAGAGAGAGAGAATCCCACACAGAGGGCTCCATGCTCAGCACAGAGCCGGATGCAGGGCTTGATCCCATCAACTGTGAGACCATGACCTGAGCCGATATCAAGGGTCAGACACCTAACCGACTGAGCCACCCCAGTGCCCCGAGACAAACGTAATTTTAATTACCTTAAATTTTTATCCATCATCAAAATGAAAAGGCAACCAACAGAATAGGAGTAAATAATTGCAAGTCGTGTATCTGATAAAGAACTCCCACAACTCAATAGCAAAACAAAAACAAAACCAAAAACAAAACACCAAACAATCCAATTTAACAACGGGGAGAAGAATTGAATAGACTTTTTCCAAAGAAGATATCCAAATTGCCAATGATGCGGAGAACAAAGGCAAAATAAAAACCATTAAACTTCCTTACAACTTACAGCCCACTGACAAGTCCTTGAGACAGGCAGAGTGACCTTCCTTCAGGAACTCAACTGCCTCAATGTTAATACTTCCCTAAGGGCAAATGGCAACCTTAGCTTGACATTAGCCTGCCCTCCATGACCCTGTAAGTCTACCTTAACATATAAAAAAATCCCCTTGGAAACTTCCTTTATCTCTATGCCTCGCCCACCAAGATACATGTTAGCAATCATCCTCCAAGCTTATGGCCCACAGATATACATCTGAAGGGTCTCATGACTGAGGTTTTACTAGACAATAGTAAACGACCTTTTCCTAACAACAGCTAGTCCCTCAAGGTCCTGGAAACCTTGCTTCCAAACTCCTTAGAGACTTACGCTATCCCTAACCCCCTCCCAAGCTGGAAGTATATAATCAGCCACTCCCCACAATCCCAGGGCAGCTCTGTCCCCATGCTTGAATAAAACCACCCGTTTTGTACCAAAGACGTCTCAAGAATTCTTTCTTGACCATTTGTTCCCAAACCCCAACATTTCACATCAGCCAACATTAGGTTATTATACACAGGATGGGAAACATACACAGAGACAAAGCAACACCACTGTAACGTAGGAGACTCACAGACACTCTTGGCTGAACATAACTCTGCCACAGGGACAATCCCAGCCCTGTCCTACGTGGCCCCTGAGACAGAAACAACCTGAGATAAAGATACACACACTCGCAAAAATAATGCACACTGCCAGACCTCCAAGCAACACGTACGCACCCAAGAACCTCTGCACCCTTCCCTTATTTGCTTTTTCCCTTTACGACTTAACCACCCTGCAATACACCTTATAATTTCTTTATATGTCCTTCATTTTCCCCCATAGAATTTCAGTTCCAAGTGGAAAGAGACGATCCTTCCCACCCGGTCACTGGTAAGTCAACAGCACCCAGTACAAAGTCTAAATGCTTATTGAAAGGCCGGGTTCATACAGACACACACACCTTCCCCTGGGGTGGGGGTGGGGTTCCCATTTATCCAAACACGCTCTTGGGTTCACATCCAAAGGTTATGTTCCCCGTGCCAAATACTACAGGGTTCCGCTGGCCCCCAAAGGGCCCTGCTGGAAAAGGGATGTCACGCTACAGAACCCTCATTGTGCACAAAGCCTGCCTGCCCCCACTCTAGCCCCGTGTCTTCATAACCTGACACCCAGAGCCTGCGACCCCAGAGAGTCAAGGGCCGCCCGCTCCAGCGCCTCGCTGTTGCAAGTTTCTGCCGGCAGAGGCCTCCTCGCCCCCTGACAACCCAGCTGGCCACGGCGGCGCTCTCCTGGATGTTCCCATCGCCGTCCTGTCCTCCCGGGCTCGGCTCCCGCCGCCGGGCCTGCGGCCTTTCCTGTCCACGGTCGCAGTCCAGCGCACCCACTGCACCCTGCCAGGGGACAGCCAACGTCTCTCGAGCTCAGACATCCCGTTTCCGGGCGACGGGCAACGACTCCTGGGAAGGAGGTGACACCCAGAAGTTTGTAGATGGGCATGGGGGCGGGCCCCTCAGCACCCCAGCCCCACTCAGATATAGACTGCGCGTTCTCCACCTTCCAGAACACCTGCGGTCTCAGCTCCGCCACAGGAGGGACTCTCCGCGGCAGGAGCCTGCGCCTGCGACTGCGGCTGCGCAGGCCAGGCAATTCAGAACTCCCAGGTGACTCCGCGGCACCCATGTGACTGCATCCGCGTTGCATGTTGGGAGCACTGGAGGGGGGTGCGGGGGGGACATGATAATGTCTGAGGAGGCTCTTACTCTAAGCTACATTTCCCCAAGTGACCACGGGTGTGCAGCGGAAAGGGTTCCACAGATTCCACCTGGAGCCGTCAGGGAGTTTGGAACTGAGGAAACCCGGGGTGTTGACAGCGCTTGCGCGGCGCGGAGGAAACCACCCCCCCCACCACCACCGGGGTGTTGACAGCGCATGCGCGGCGCTGCTTCGCACGTTTGGCCAGGCAGAGGCGAGAGACTGCGGAAGTGCGGGCGTGAGTGCGCACGCGCATGGCCGTGAGTATCGCGTCCTCCCTGGTGTGTCGCCCACGTGGTAGGTGTTGAGGCTGTGACCCATTCGAAGGAGAGTTTGGCCGGCAGTAGGTTGTGAGTTCATGTGGGAGCCGCGGCTCTGGAGGAAGAATGTGGGTCGCTGGTTTACAGTGCTTCCTCTGGACTCTCCGTGCACCCACATGGAATTTCTGCGGAGGAATGACTAGTGGAGCGCCCTCCAGTGTGCGTCAATAGCGGAGTTTGCAGCAGTGAAGGGCACAGTTGGGTTTGTCCCTGAGATGTCAGGTAGTCTGAACGGAGTTGCAGGTGGCCTCGGGACAGGACCCTATGTGTATGCCCAAGGAGTAGGAAACACCACCAGGCCGACTCCCCCCTCCCCGGAGGATTCCCTTGAGAACGCGGTGGAATTCCTTTTAAATTTCAAGCCACAGCATTCCCAGAGTTCTGGCCCAGGAAACCTGATATAAACCTAGAGACCTATTGCTGGCTTTCCCTCTCTTCCCTCAGGTAAGGTGATGGAGGTGAGGACAGGTGTGACCCTGGAGTGTTTTCGAACTTCAGTTGAGGTTCCAAGAAAGGCCGGATGGGTCGCAAGTCTTTAGGAGGCGGAAAGCACTGTCCTTACACATCTAAAAATCAGGGTGTGAGTGAGTTTAAACTTCCCTTTAGCTCATAAGATAGTTTCGTATCTTTGTTTTCTAATAATTTATTTGAAAGACTAGAATTAGCCATTGTAAGTGTAGTTCTATGGGTTTTCATAAATTCACACTTTGTACCACCGTAGTTAAAATACAAAACACTCCATCTCTCACCTCCGAGAAAACAACATCCTAGTGCTCATTTGTTGACAAACTTTCCCCCATTCTTAACCCTCTCATCTGTTCTAGTTCCCTGTACCTTATTTTTTCCAGAATGGCATATAGATGTAGGCTTTTGAATACTGTGTTTAACATGTAATGTTACATTTTGAAATTTTAGTAATTGTACTTGTCCTCCAGAGTTCTGAGATTTCAAATTTTCAACAGTACCCAGTACACCTCGTGGCACACATTAGGCCTTCAAAATAGAGAGATTGCATTATCCTTTTCAGGTGCGTAAGCTTAAGCAGGACCCTGCTTCCATTGCTTAACTTGTGTCACTTGTACAATTGGAAGGATGCTGGGAGAAGTCATTGAATGTGGTAATAAGGATTATGAAATGACACTAATCTCTGCTGTGCTACGAAAACAAGCGTTAGCATGGAGAAATGGACAAAGACTGGATTTCATTTGCCTTTTAATTAAGCACAGTACTGTTATATTTTTCTTTCCTAATATGTGTTGGAAGTCTAAGCATGTGGAAACAATACCCGTAAAAAGCAAAGTGGGCATTTGGGACTTTCATGGATTATTAAAACAAAAGCTTACACATTCTCCTCCTGTAAGTGGTCATGAAAATTTTCCTTGTTTGAGGATGTCTAATAAATTGGGATATCGCTCATCTGATACCCCCAGTCTGCAGCTCACTTCACTGATTCCTGGATAGCTTTCCCTTTTACCATCGTTACCTCTTCTCCTTGCTTCTATTAGGAAATCAGAGTGGGCTTGCATAGCTATTGCTCTGCTCACAGAAGACTTGAGGGGTTAGAAGTATGAGGGTAATGTGAAGCTTCCTTAAACTATGAGAAACTCTGATTTTCTTCAGAACAAATCTCAGTCCACATGCCGGAGTCCCAAAGTGATAGTAACACATATATGAGGCAATTTCTTTTTTTTTAATATGAAATTTATTGTCAAATTGGTTTCCATATAACACCCAGTGCTCATCCCAACAGGTGTCCTCCTCAATACCCATCACCCACCCTCCCCTCATTCCCACCCCCCATCAACCCTCAGATTGTTCTGAAAGTTATATGAGGCAATTTCAAATTCTTTCATGAGAATGTTAAATACAAACACCCATACAGCATGCTTCAAATCAATATGAACTGTCTGGTCCCAAATACCAGTGCCCAGTCTCATCAACATATATAACACACCCTGAAATTTTTAACCATTGTGAAAATGAGGGTGAACTATATCTGTAATTTTATGGGAAATGGTTAGTGTTAACTCCGCGAGTGGAGGATTGTTTCTGTATCATCACCCACTATTTACCAACACTTCTGAGCAGTTCCAGAAAGTATCTAAGGCATACTAAGTGGTGTAAGTATACATGAATCAATGGTGCCTTCATTCACTGAGACCTCTCTTCTTCAGTCTGTGTGCCTATTATCTCGTCACGGTTTATATTTTACTTCACTTTGCTTTTATATTATCCAATAAAGTTTAAGATATTTTCTCATGAGAATCTTTTTATATCATTTGCTAGACTTATTACTTAATTAAATTGGTAAAACCATTATTTAAAGTTTTTACTATTGTGAATAAGAAGTTACATTGATAAGATTGTAACAGTATACAAAGTAAGATTTGTTAGGATGAAAACTGCCTACATTTGTATGCACCTGGTAATATTGACTCAAAATTTACAATTCTTAAATTCACAAAGTTACAAAGTTTCGACAACTCATAGATGCAATGTTTTAATATCTTTTAAGTAAATTAAAGACATTGACATTTATTAGTATACATTTTAAAACAATTAACAGAATATTTCTCAAATATTTTATACATTTATATAGTGCACAACTCATATGGAAACAGTTAATTGAATATTTCTCATAAACACTGAATTTGTTCAACCAAAAAAAAAATTCACATTGTGTCTAATCACACATAATCGATCTTAATAATGGAACATATCCCGAGGGATTGGATTTAGTGCTGAGTAACAGAAAACCCACACCGTCTACCCAATATGTCAGTAATGCTGATTTATTTTATAGAAATACTGGGTCAGGACAGCTGCTCAATCATGCTGTAGGGAAACACAGTCCCATATGTTCTTATGGATGCACCACTGCAGACACACAGAAGCATAAGTATTATGAGAATGAGATGTTCACTATACAAATCAGACTTTATATGAATATGTTAAGATCTAGGGAAAAGGGGTCAGAGCATTAGATGAGATCAACGGCCATGACATCCTAATCAGTGGCCTGGTGGACAGTGTAGGGCTTTCAGGAAAATGCAAGCTGTGGACATCTGACCGTGGATGTGCATCCATGCTGGAAAAGTTGGTAGGGTGTCTGTAAAAGCCTACACCTCTGACAAAGTAGAAGTCACGCAGTTGGTATTTGTTTTGAAGGTGCTTTTGGTTGGCAAGGCCGGCAATCAGGAAAATAAGCTGGAGATGGTACCCACGGAGTCCCTGCGCGTCTGTCTATCTCCCTATAGAGTGGTGGCTCAATACACTGAAAAGCGCTTCTTTGAAATCTCATGCAAGCTGGGCTATTACAGAATTCTATCATGGAACCAAATAGAGAAAGCATCCTGGGAAGTGGTAGTTCCTAGCCCTTCCTATGTGGCGAGGACACATTCCAAGAGAACCATATCCACCTCTAGATTCCACTGTCTTCTTCATTCAAATGTATTGTCCACTTCCTAACCAGAAGCTAGGACAAAGAGCATACAGCAACAGATGGAAATAACAATTCATACGAAACTATACTCTTGCAAGCTCTCTGCATACCTACAAATTTCTAGCCAATTACATATTCACAAATTTGCAAGCCAGCAAAATGGAATAATGGAATAACGATCCTCTGGCCAAAAAAAAAAAAAAAAAAAAAAAAAAAAAAAAGGTGTTGAGAACATATACCTTATGATGTAAGTAAAGAAGTGTCAACTTTAAGTGTCAAGTTGTAAGTTCTCTCAGGAAGATAGTAAAATGGAATATATGTATGTAATGGGAAAGTGATACCCAGCTTGGAACATACTTGGCCAGTAAGAAAATCCAAACAAATACCAATGTCACATTAGTCTAAAGGCCCCATACTTACAGAACAATTTTAAAACTATATAAAATTAAACCTAATGCATATTTAAAACACATCAACCACCCGTGGGTGAATCACACTTCAAAATGGATGCAGAAATATTAACTGAATTCATGAAGGGGGAGAAAACCTACAATATATCAAAATTCATGTACTGTGTAGATGTACTCAGAATACTTGAGAATTTTCATCTCAATGTTTAGTTGAACGAGACATGGAAATTCACTTGCCAGAGGTCCACATTAAGGATGAAATACTGAGCACTACTGTGTAACTTTTATAATATTTCTCTTCTGGTGTGGATTTTCCAAACTATTTTACATGAATTAATATGCATTAGGTTTTCTTATATTTAGAAACTTTCTTTTGACTGTGAGTTCTCACATGACTACGAAACGCTTTGAGACAACTGAAAGTTTTCCCACATTTTTCACACGTCTGAGGTTTCTCTCTAGTCTTTATCCTTATGGTTTTAGAAGGATTGGGACCGACTGAAGGCTTTCCCATATTTTTCACACTTAAAGGGTTTTTCTCTAGTCTGAATTCTTACATTTTTGGAAGGATGACTGAAAGCTTTCCCACATTGCTTGCATTTATGGGTTTCTCACCAGTGTGCTTTCTGTCATGTTTGTGTAAGGATGAGGACCAACCAAATGCTTTCCCACATTTTTCACACTCATAGCGTTTCTCTTCAGTGTGCGTTCTTACATTTTTGGAAGGATGAGGGCCAACTGAAGGCCTTCCCACATTGCTTATGTTTACACGTTTCTCTCCAGTGTGCATTCGGACATGTTTGTGTAGGGATGAGGGCCAACCAAACGCTTTCCCACATTTTTCACATTTATAGGGTTTCTCTCCATTGTGAATTCTCACATGTCTCTGAAAGGATGTGAGCCAACAGTAGGCTTTCCCACACTGCTTACATTCATAGGGTTTCTCTCCAGTGTGCATTATCATATGTACTCGAAAGGATTTGGGACAGCTAAAGCCTTTCCCACACTGCTTACATTCATAGGGCTTCCCACCATTGTGCATCATCACATGTACGCGGAAGGATTTGGGGCAACTGAAGGCTTTCCCACATTCCTTACATTCATAGGGTTTCTCTCCAGTGTGACTCCTTATATGTCCAGTGAGGGAGTGGGAACGAATAAATGTTTTCCCACAAAGTTTACAGGCATAGGGTTTCTCTCCACTGTGAGTTTTCACATGATTCCTTAGGTAGGAAGAACAACTGAACGCTTTCCCACATTCCTCACACTGATATAGTTTGCGTCCAGTATGACTTCTTTTGTGCCTCTTAAGGGATGAACGATGCCTGAAGACTTTTCCACACTGAATGCACTCATACAGTTTTACTCCAGTAGGCGTTTTCTTGTACAGCTTAAGACTTGGAATATGGTTGATGGTTTCTCCACATGTATTACCTTTGCTACTGTCACAGAGTCTCTCCACCATATGATTTCTGCTTAAAAAAAAATGGAGGGGGCACATTATTAATGGTTTGTGTATTAATTATTTATTAATATTTGTTAATGAGCTCGAGGGTTACATTTCTACCATTTTTCTGTCTAAATATAGGTTTTCTGTCCTGTCAGAATTAGTTCAAGGTGGAATAAACTAAATGCTCTGAGAATGGGCTGAGGCACAGCCCATTACTACAACAGCATTTCTCATATGTACGGTTCCCTGGTCATTGTTTTCCACCAAATTATTTTTCAAACGCTTAATGTCTGAGTCACATGAAGGAAAAAAAGGGAGGGAATGATTTGTGAATAAACAAATCTGGAGCTAGGTTTATGGGTCTCTTGTTTTTGTTTTTTAATTTCATGAAATAGTAAGATTCTCTACTGGGATATTGCATTTTCTCCTAAATGCAACTCACCTCAAATGTCTCCCCTGGTCATTGTGCTTATCTTCAATGCACTGGTCTTCCCAATTTTCTCCAAAAAGGGAGGTCCAGGAATCATTTTTTGTGAACCTTGCTATTTTCTGCTCATTGGATAATTTTTCTCCAAAAATAACCTGCTGAGAAGTGGACCCATTGGTTCTAAGTTGATTCTCATCATCTAAAACAAAACAGTGAATAAATCTTATGAAAAAGGCAACTGTGAGAAAAGAAATACATTCAGGAGTTCAGTGTTTCAAAACTTAATTATTAAGAGACACAAGAGGGGTTCCTGGGTGGCTCAGTTGGTCAATTATCTGATTCTTGATTTCAGCTCAGGTCATGCTCTCACATTTCATGGGTTCAACCCCCACACTGGGCTCCACATTGTCAGTGACAGAGAACACTGTTAGTGTGGAGCCTGATTGGGATTCTCTCTCTCTCTCTCTCTCTCTCTCTCTCTCTCTCTCTCTCTCCCTCTCCCTCTCCCTCTCCCTCTCTCACTGCCCCTCCCTGCTCATGCATGCTCTCTCTCTCTTAAAATAAATAAATAAAATTAAAACAAAGAGGCACAAGAAGTCAAAATAGTAGGCAATTCAATATGCACGGAAAAAAACACAAGGTTTCAAACAACAAGCTTCTTCATTCCCACAAAGTGACCCACGGGTATATACACATACTGAGGACAGTGAAGAATGCTGTCTTTTAAACCAGAAAGGAAGAAAAACACAGGTCAATATATAGATTTTTACCGTCACTGAGAAACTGTTAGATTCTAGGTCTGTGACGGCTGTGATCACGCCTGTCTTATTTTCCAATGCGTCTTCCTTCCGCATTCCAGATTTTGAGATGGGCTTAATGAATAAGAAATAGTTGTTATCGAAATAACTAAGTGAAGGATTGATGCCACCCTTACCTACTGTGACCAGGTTCCTGAAGGTTTCTAGCATCACATCTTTGTAGAGCTTTTTCTGAGCAGGCTTCAGCAGGGCCCACTCCTCTTGGGTGAAGTCCACAACCACATCCTCAAAGACCACTGAGTCCTAAAACAAGCCACAGATGTGTAGCAGAATGGGTAATACAGGGGAAGTGGACTCAAATTCACAGGAAGTCCCAACAAGATTCTATGGTCTCCCCACATCTAATCTACATCCACACTCACTTTCTGTATCATGGTCTTAACACACCACTAATACATTGAACTTGTCCCTCTCTCCATTTTCACTGTGACCCTTCCTGTGTGATCCCTGCCTTTTCACAGAGTCTAGAATAGTCCAAAACACATTGGAAAAATTAGAGAAATGCTATACAAATGAAACAAATATTTCCATTTTATGACCACCAATTCCTTGTGACAAAAACTATTTCATCTGTCTCCTTACTGCCCACCGCATTGGTCAGCACTGCATAGGTCCCAAGTTCAAATTGAAACGGGACTCTAATAAACAAAAACGCACTGAAGTTTTTCCTTCATTTCCCCTCACCAACAAGAGGCCCAAGGTGGAAACCCAACTTGCAACGTGGGCCAGCCGATCCTGTGTCTGGATGTACTCTAGGCAATTCAAAGTAGATATGTCCAACTAGGAGCATGAAGGCATTTTTCCTGGAGAAATGCTAATATTAACTTATATGTGTATTATTTATGTATATCATTTATCACAGAATCAGTTGCTACTCTTTCTTCCTTTGTGTGCCCTTGAGACAGAAGAGGTATTGAGAAAGAGGAGGAAAGAGGAAGACAAGATAACTCAGGAGGAGGGAAGAAGGCATGAGAACTTAGACCTTTCCATAATACCCACATTCATAAACCTTGGTGTCGGTATGCATTAATTTTGAGTACACACACATGCACGTGCACACTGAGGTTCTAAGATGCCAAAATAGCTCTTTCCACCCAAGATTGCTGGTGCCTTGATCTTGGACTTCCCAGCCTCCATACGTGAGGCTTCCCATTTCTCCAATGTGAGAAATACATTTCTGTCATTTCTAAGCCACTCTTTGGTGTTTTGTTATAGCAGCCTGAATGGGACGAAGACACATAGCCAGAGACTGGAGCAAAGTGAGATGGGAAGTAAGTCAAGAATGGTGGGGAGTGCTGGGAGGTTGGGCCCATCATCTTGTGGGGAACTAGTCAGATTCGATTCTGTGAGAACTGTGGAGCTACTTCAGGCTTTTGCACAGAGGAGTGGTCTCCTCTCTAGCTTTAATGATCCATCACTTGTGTTGAGACTAGACTATGGGGAATGGATGTACAGACCAGAACACCTGTTAAGAAAATAAAGCCATAACCGGGTGAGAGGAAGGTGGGTTGGCCAGGGTGGTCACAGTGGAATGTATAGGGGAAATATTGGGAAGGGCTACAGATTCCTGATGGACTGAAGTTGGGGCAAGACAGAATGAGAGGAGTTGATGACGCTGATTATGTCTCACAATAAAAACTGAAATAATGGGGGCGGCTGGGTGGCTCAGTCAGTTAAGCGTCTCCCTTCAGCTCAGGTCATGATCGCATGGTTCCTAAGTTCAAGCCCACATTGGGCTCACTTCTTCCACATGGATCCTGCTTCAGATCTTCTGTCCCCCCCTCTCTGCCCCTCCCCCACTTGTGCTCTCTCAAGAATACAAATAAAACATGTAAAAAATCTCAAAAAAAAAAAAAAAAACCCCAAACCCTGGAAAGATGGAGTTTCCATGAACTGAGATGTAGAAGGCCATATGTAGACTAAGATCTTGGGGAGAGGATGAGAAGTTCCTAACAGGCAATACCAACATGGGAATAACAATAAGACATCCGAGTGGACACATGCATTAATAATGTCTCCAGGAGCACCGGTCAGAATGGCAAAAATTTGAAAACACCCAAGTAGCCACTAGTAACAGAGTTAATAAATAATGGTGGTATATCCTTGCAAGTGAATACAAGAGAGCAATTAAAGGTTAATTAACTATTATTACCACACAGAAGACCGTAAAATAACTTTAAACAAAAGGAATCTTACCTAAAATCTTACCTAAAATCTACACTGCGATTCCATTTACATGCAACGTGGGACATGCAAAATTAGAGTATCTTTATTTAATGCTGCATACACAGGTGCTAGAAGAACGGACACTGCCTTCACACCATTCAAGATATTGGTTACATGTAGAGAGTGAGGAGGGTCACTGGGAATCATTTCCAGTGGGGTGTCTGATGTCAAGCACTGTTTTAGCTCTAGGGCTGGATTTTACTTCACAGGTGTTTATTTTTTATTATTGCTATAGACTGTCCAATATGTCTTATGTACGTTTCTGCATGTATGTTATACTTTGCAATGAAACATGGTAATCAATTAACACAACTTACCTGACATCATCTTAAGAATTACAGAAAATGATTTTATACTGTTCAACAGAAACACATGAAAAAAAAAAAGCTCATACTGCAGGGGAACCAATGGTAAGACGCATAGCCCAATAAAGAGCATAGTGGTGGGGGGTGGGAAGATTATTAAAAAAGGAATATATAGGGGCCCCTGGGTGGCTCAGTCGGTTAAGCATCTGAGTCTTGATCTCAGCTCAGGTCATGACCTCACAGTTTGTGAGTCTGAGCCCTGCGTTGGGCTCTCTGCACTGGCAGTGGGGAGCCTGCTTGGGATTCTCTCTCTCCCGCTCTCTGCCCCTCTCCTGCTTGCATGCGTGTGCATGCACATGCTCTCTCTCAAAATAAATAAACTTTTAAAGAAGGAATATATAAATGGTGTGAAGTTTTTCTACCAAAAAAAAAATGTACAAAACTAAGTTCCTCTTGCCTCACTCCTGGTCAACATTACATGAAAAAGCCAATCCAGTGCCACAAGAAAATAAACAAATGTGCAGAATTACAAAAGAATAAAAAAGATCACTGTTATCCTTAGCACTAAGAAGCCTCTGCACAGGACCCCGACAGAACAAGAAGAACCACAAAATAAGATTTTTAGCACGATTCTAGAATAGATACACAGGACGAAAATAAAACCCATCACCTTTCCGTTTCATAACAACATTAAGTTGGAAAATTCATGTCAAAAAGTGAACACGAAAGCCATCATTTCAAGCCTCTGGAAACAATTCAGGGGTCTGAACGATCAACAAACACTAACCTGTGCAGCCATTCCTTCAAAGGAGTCCAAATTTGACTGGATTAGTCGATAGAGCAACGTACGCACCATGGCATGTTCAAAACAATAAAACAGTCAGCCTACAACTAGTGGAGATTAACAGCTAACAGCGGTTGGTCGAGAAAAAAATGAAGAAAACCCTGCCAACACTACTGCCATCCCAGGGTGACTGAGGAGAAACATCAGAGGCCTACTACTGAAGGGGTTGGGAGGAGAGTGAAATAGACTTGACTAAAATAATCCAGCCAGTCACCAAGCAAACACAAATAAACAACAGTCAGGAAGCCCAGAAGACAGGGGCCAGTACCCAAAGTTGCTACAATATATTATCTATAGTGTCCAGTTTCCAACAAAAAATTACAAGGCATGCAAAGAAAAAGGACACTGTGACCCTTACAGCAGAAAAATAAGCAGGGGTCGGGGGGCACCTGGGTGGCTCAGTTGGTTAAGCGCCCGACTCCAGCTCAGGTCATGATCTCACGGTTCCCAAGTTCAAGCCCCGCACCAGTCTCTGTGCTGACAGCTCAGAGCCTGGCGCCTGCTTTGGACTCTTTCTCTGCCCCTTCCCTGCTCGTGCTCTGCCTCTCTCAAAAATAAATAAAAATATTTTTAAAAATTGTTTTAAAAAGAAAAAATAAGCAGGAAACAGAAATAGAGAGCAAACAGATGTTGGTTTACAGAAGGGTTCAAAGTAACTATTATAAATATGTTCAAAGAACTAAAGGAAACAATGATTAAAGATGTAAAGGAATATATGATAACAATGATGCACCAAATAATGTCAAAAAGAGATCGAAATTATTCTAAACGAACCAAATGAAAATTCTGGGGTTGAAAAGCACAATAACTTTTGTATCCCTTGCCTCTGGAGACATGTCCAGTAAGAAACTGCTATGGCTGAGGTCAAACAGGTTGCTGCCTATGTTTTCCTTTATGGTTTTGATGGTTTTGTCTCAAATGTAAGTTTTTCATCCATTTTGAATTTATTTTTGTGTATGGTGTAAAGAAAGTGGTCCAGTTTCATTCTTCTGCATGTGGCTGTCCAGTTTTCCCAACACCATTTGTTGAAGTGACTTTTTTCCATTGGCTATTCTTTCCTGTTTTGTTGAAGCTTAACTGGTCTTCACACAGTTGTGGGTCCATTTCTGGGTTTCCTATTCTCTTCCATTGATCTATGTATCTGTTCTTGTGCCAGCATCCTACTGTCTTGATGACTACAGCTTTGTAACATAGCTTGAAGTCTGGAATTGTCATGCCTGCAGTTTTGTTTTTCTTTTTCAGGATCACTTTGGCTGTTTGGGATCTTTTGTGCTGAGCGTGGAGCCTGCTCAATATTCTCTCTTTTGCCCTCTGCCCCTCCCCGCTGCTCATGCTGTCTCTAAAAATAAAAAATAATAATTAAAAAGGAAATGCAGGGGCGCCTGGGTGGCTCAGTCGGTTAAGTGGCCGACTTCGGCTCAGGTCATGATCTCGCGGTCCGTGAGTTCGAGCCCCGCGTCGGGCTCTGTGCTGACGGCTCGGAGCCTGGAGCCTGTTTCAGATTCTGTGTCTCCCTCTCTCTGACCCTCCCCCGTTCATGCTCTGTCTCTCTGTCTCAAAAATAAATAAACATTAAAAAATTAAAAAAAAAAAGGAAATGCAACAGATTTCTATCGATTTCATATCGTACAACTTTGCTCAATTCACGTATCAGTTCTAGCAAATTTTTGGTGGAGTCTTTTAGGTTTTGTACAGAGTATCATGTCATCTGCAAACAGTTAAAGTTTGACTTCTTCCTTGCTGATTTGGGTGCCTTTTATTTCTTTTGGTTGTCTGATTGTACTTTCAGTACTATGTTAAATCAACGAAACTAAAAGGCAGCCTACAGAACAGGAGAAGATATTTGCAAATGATAAAGGGTTAGTATC